CTGTATATATATTTTTTATTTTTCAAAGGCAAAAACACATGAGTTATGTACAACTCATACAAAGTAAAAATATTAGTTATTATAAAGAACTTAATACTTCATAATTCAAAATTGTGAGTTTATATCATGCAATTGCGAGAAAAAAGTCAATTGTGAGATAAAAAGTCACAATTACTTTTTCTGTATGTATGCATTTATATATTTATTTATTTATTTATTCAGTAGTGGAAACGGACTTCCATAGTTATGTACCAAAAAAAAAAAAAGGAACAATTTATACAAATCCAAAATCATTTCTGCACTAGAAAGGTAAGTAAATAACAGTCATTGCACTTTTTTTCAGAAATAAATAAATCAAGTAAAAAGTTCTGACCAAGACGGTCTAGCAGTTTGACTTCAGCCACAACAGCTGGAAATCCAGCTGATCAACCACCTAAACCAGTTCAGACCACTTCATGCCCAGCTTCAGATAGCTGAAGATCATCTGAATCTGGTTTTTGCTGGATTTTCCAGCAGAGAAAGCCTGAAGCCTATTGTAGTTTCTGTGTCTCAGATATCGACGAGTGTCGCCAGACTCCTGACGTGTGTGTTAACGGCCGCTGTGAGAATAACATGGGCAGCTACAGCTGTGTGTGTCGCGCTGGATTCAGACTGGAGAGAAACATCTGCAAAGGTGACCAAACCGTCAGAACCTTCTCAATCTCAACATGTGAAAAAGAAGTGCACTAATGCATACTTTTAAAAATAGCGCTTATTATGGAAATAATGTACTTTATAAGAATATATTTAAGTGTGAACTGAATGCAATGTTTTCAGACACTTAACTGCATGTTATTTACAATTAAATGAAACTATAATGCATTATAGTTTCATTTAATACTAAATGCAATTAGTTAAACTTAAGAGTGCTTTTTGAGCCACTTAAGTGCATGCAATTTCATAATTCTATTGTCTTTGAAATATGGTTAAAGTTACTGCTGAAGTTATTAAAATGTACTTTAATGCATTTCAATTGAAACTTGTATGTCATGTGTTTAAATATATTTTACACATTTGTAACATTTACACGTTTTGTAATAGTGCAACTTATAACATTTAAAGTACTTGATGTGCTTTAGTATGTTAGTCAACACATCAAAGTGTACTTCCGTAAAACACAACAAAAGTTGTATTATTATTATTTATTATTAGTGCATTTTTTAAAATCTACTTAAGTGTGTTTAGACATATGTGTCTCTCTTTAAGTGGTATTTTATTTTAGTAATATTATATTATCTGCAAGTACAGTTTTTTTTAATGTATACTTAAAATTTGAAGTATCTTTTTCACAAGCGGTTTCACCCACGAAGCATAAATGGTTCGAGTCTGTTTCTTATCCTGTTCCAGATGTGAACGAGTGTGAAAACGAGCTTCAGTGTCCAGGAAAAGAGTGTGTGAACTCGGTCGGCTCCTTCAGGTGTGTCTCCTGTCAGCCGGGCTTCGAGCTTCTTGAGGGCCAATGCCAAGGTATCACTGCAGTTGACACATAACATTGATTTGAGTAGATTAAATGTAGAATATGCAACCCAGTCTCATAAAAATACGTACCTCTGGGTACTTTTCTGCAACACCGTTTTTACGTACCTTAATATGATCAAAGAAAAGTGATAATTTCTTTCTTTTTTAGTTTTTAATGCAATTATGAGACACAAAGTCACAGTTATCAATCAGTCATTTAATAGTTATGTCTATTGCACATTTGAAGATGACCACAGTGCGTTACACTAATGACCATATAGACACATAATACAGAGTTATGAGATGATAAAAGAAAATATGTGTCCTGCAGCATGTCATTCTGTAGAGCAATCCATTCACTGTCGGTTTCTTTTATAGGGATAAAGATGTGAATATTGTATGGGAGTTTTGAATGTGTGCTGTCTCTCCTGTGTGTTTTTTTAGATAAAGATGAATGTAGGCAAAAGCCCACACGCTGCACTAATGGCCAATGCATAAACACTCCCGGCAGCTTCAGATGTGTGTGTGATCTGGGCTTCAATCTACAGGACGGCACATGCACGGGTAAGAGAGCACTAAAAAAAAAATAAAAAAAAATAAATAAATAAATAAAAAATAAAAAATAAAATAAAATAAAATAAATAAATAAATAAATAAATAAATATTTTTTTGTTAATTGAATCAGGGTTATTATAGTTAACTAAAACTAAAAAAAAGTTACTTGAAATAAAATAATTAAATAAAAATAAATTATATTATTATTTCAGCTAGTTAAGGAATTAAAATCAGTAAAATTAAAATGAAAATATAAAAAAATCTAAATATTAACAAAAACTGTAACATATTTTAAATTTATCAATAATAAAATGTGATAGTTCATCAAAAATAAATTTTAACTGAAATAAAAAATAAATAAAAAGATTGTATTTTAGCTAGTTACCAAAGGCAACATTTCTCATTTTCATTTAGTGTAATGTGTAAGTACTAAACTAACTGAAAATAAATCAACTAAAACTAATAAATAAAAATGAATAAATACTATATAGATGTTTAAAAAAAACTAATAAACATATAAAACACAACAAAATCGTAGCCAAAATTAAAGTGAAAACAGAAAATACAAAAATATGTCATTCAAAATATTTACAAAAACTGTATTTCTGATACTAAAATAGCTTGAATTAAAATAAATGTTAACTGAAAAAAAATCTTAAACTTATTTTATTTCAGCCAACATTTCTCACTTTTGTTTAGTGTAACGACGTACTAAACTAACTAAACCTAAATCAATTAAAACTAACAAATAAAAATTAATAAAAACTATATAGACATATTGGGGGAAAAAAAAAAACTGATAAAAATCACAAAAACACACAACAAAATTACTAAAAAAAAAAAAAAACAGAAAATATAAAAATAAATTAGAATCTAATTCAAATTGTTAACAAAAACTATAATAAATGTTAACTGAAATAGAAATAAATATTTAAATTAATTATAAAAATTATTTTATTTCAGTTATTTACCAAAGACACATTTATCATTTTTGTTTACTGTAACTTAAAGTACTAAAATAACAAAAAATAATAAATAAATATTAATAAAAGTGACATATATTAAAAACATACACAAAACAAAATCACTAAAACTTTAACCGAAAACAGAAAATGCAAAAGTAAAATCTAACTATAACAGTATATCAGTGATACCAAAACAACACTTTGGTAGCATCACATCATTTTTTCACCGGATCTGACGTGGTTCTTGTCTGTGTGTGTGTTAGATCTCGACGAGTGTCTGGATGCGCTGCAGTGTCCAGGGCAGCAGTGCCTCAACTCTCCGGGCTCGTACAAGTGCGTTCCCTGCAGAGACGGACACAGCATGCAGAACGGACGCTGCTCAGGTCAGACCAGCTCAAGCACGCTTACTGTGCACACTCTCAAGTCCTCTTGAAGTTCTCTGCGTGCAGCTGCTCTGCTGGCGACTCCACAGAATAAAGGACGTAGTGCAGGAACCCAAAACCCGTCACCTTCAGAACTATATGTGACCCTGGAGCACAAAACCAGTCATAAGGGTCCATTTTTTGAAATTGAGATGTATGCAACAGTAAACTAGCATAAAACTAGCATGCCAATAAAAATAAATCATGTGTTTTTCAATAAACGAATCAACACATAAAATGTGTTAATAAATAACTGATCATGAAATGTGTCAGTAAATAAACAACAGCATAAATTGCAGTTTATTGATTTATGTCATTTTTAAACATTTGTTCATGAATGTTATTACTCACTTCATGACATGTTTAAAACATATTTATTCATTTTATTACGATATATCATGGTTATGTTTAAAATATACATTTTTGACATGTTTCGTGGTTTAATTTTTTACAAACATGTATTTATTTGGTGTTGATATTGACAGTATTTATTGACATTTCATGATTTATTTATTTATAAAACATATTTTATTGACACATTAATGCTTTTTAAAAACATTTCTTTTTTGACATTGAAATTTCAGTATTTTCAGTGTTTCATGATCAGTTTATTTATTAACACATTTTATGTTTATTTGTTTACTGAAAAACACATTTCATTATTTATTTTCATGCTAAATGCTAGTTTTATGCTAGTTTACTGCAGTAGATGCATAATAAAGGTATTTTTAAATAAATATATTACAAATATATATACGTATAAATATAATACAAATTTCATTATTTATTTATTTTATAAACATTTATTTGATGTTGACAGCATTTCATTATTTATTGATGCATATTTACAGCATTTATTGATACATTTCATGATTCATTTATTTTTTAAACATATTTATTCTTTTTATTTACACATTCCATGCTTTAAAAAAACATTGTACTAACACATTTCATTATTTATTTATTTTTAAAACATTTATTTTATTGACATGTTTCAATTTTTTTTTAAACCTTTTATTTTATTGACAGATATTTATGTTTTATAAACATTTATTTGACATTGACAATATTTCAGTATTTACTGATACATATTTACAGTATTACTGATACATTTCATATTTTTTTATTTTAAAAAACATAATTATTAATGTTATTGACATTTCATTATTTATTTATTTTAAAGCATATATTTATTTAACATATTTATTGATCATTATTATTTATTTTTACATTTTATTGACATTTTATAATTTATTTTTGTAAAACATGCATTTATTTTACTGATACATTTCATGATTTTTTTGACACATTTAAAAAAAAAATGTTGTTGACATGAATTTAATTATTGACACATTTCTTGATTTATTCATTTACTGACATATTTATTTATATATTGACACTTTTAATGAAAAAGTATTTATTAATAAGGCATTCAAAATCCTCCATAGGTGTTTATATAAATGTCTTAAAGGCACAGTATAGCAAAAATCAGCCTGTTAGATTCAGAGAGAGGGCGTAAAATGTCATGAAAACGAAATTGTCTATTGTTGGTGCAAAAAGCTTGATTGACATAATAAGGGAGCGACAAGGCAGAAGATAAAGTGATAAAGTACGATATGCATGTCAGACTAAACCTGTGTTGTCAGGCAAATATTAAATGAATAAATGCCCAGCGTGTATGTTTGTGCGCTGTCCCTGCTAACCCGTGCTGTCTGTTTTCCCCTCAGACATTGATGAATGTGTGAGTCCTCACCTGTGCGGGCCGCAGAGCGTGTGCGTGAACACAGACGGCTCGTACCGCTGCGACTGCTCTCCGGGGTTCAGAGCGGCCGGACCGCGGCGCCAGTGCCGAGGTCACACAAACATTACTGCTTTATACTCGTCTTTTGTTCAGAGTAGTGCTGTCGAACCATTAATCGCGATTAATCGCATCCAAAATTATGTTAGGTTACAATTTCATACTGAAAAAAACAACAACTAAAATGAAAATAAAAAACTATTAAAAACTCCTTCTAAAGCACGCACGCACACACACACACACACACTCTCTCACACTCTCTCACACACACACACACACACACGCACGCACACATACACACACACTCACGCACACACACACACGCACGCGCACGCACAAATATTACCGCTTTATACTCGTCTTCTGTTCAGAGTAGTGCTGTCAAACCATTAATCGCGATTAATCGCATCCAAAATTATGTTAGGTTACAATTACAGTTTGAAAAAAAACAACAACTAAAATTCAAATAAAAAAGTATTAAAAACTACTTCTAAAGCACGCACGCACGCACACACACACACACACACTCTCACACACTCTCACACACACACACATTTTCAAATAGTTGTATCTCAGCCAAATATTGTCCTATCCTAACAAACCATACATCAATGGAAAGCTTATTTATTCAAATCTCAATTTAAACAAACTGACCCTTATGACTGGTTTTGTGCTCCAGGATCACATATGAGTTTGTTTTTAACACACTTCTGTCTGGCTCAGACATTAACGAGTGTCTGGAAGGAGATTTCTGCTTCCCGAGCGGAGAGTGTGTGAACACGGACGGATCCTTTAAGTGCGTTTGTGCGCAGGGCTACAGGAGCGCCGCTAACGGGACGTCCTGCCAAGGTATGACACCAGACGTGATGCACAGCCAACATCAAGCTGCCGTTCCTCACTAAACCTGTGGGGAAAAGACTGGCGCTTTTCTCAGCAACCTTGAATTTAGATTTGGAGTTGTTTCAATCTCTCCAGTGTGAAATGTTCCTTAATTCTCTGATGGAATGATTAACTGCATTAGTCAAACGTCTGAAGTAAACGTTTCTGCTTTCAACACGTCCACCACACACCCTGTGAGATAAAATCAAGATATAATTGCGCAGAATGCGATAAAGGGAAACATCTGCACATTCACACTCATGTACTGTAGGCAACCTGTAATTGGAGATCATTTTTGCATGTATCAAATAATTTAGTATTGAATAATTTATATTGTAAATGCATATACTTTTATTGAAAATATTTAGTTTTAGTTTAGTAATTATATATATATATATATATATATATATATGACTTGCTTTTTTTGCAGAACAGTTTTTTTTTTACTTTGGTAAACTATGTATTTTATTTTATGACACATTTCATTCTTTATTTTTTTGAAACCTATATATTTTATTGACACATTTCATTTTAAACATATGTGTTTATTTTAATGACATTTTAATAATGTATTTGTTTACATATATTTATATATTGACACATTTTTATATTATAATATTTAATTATTTGTTTATTTATTTATTTACTTACTTTTTTTTATTTATTTACACTTTTAATTAATTTATTTTTTTAAACATTTATTTATTTTAATGACATTTTAATGATTCATTATTTGTTTGTTTTGTTTATTTATACGTTTTTATTTAATTATTTATTTACTGACATTTAAATTTATTTAGTTTTAGAAACTTTTAATCAAAAATGTGTTTATTATTACAGCACTCATAGGTGTTTTACACTGAGATCTTAAAGGAACAGTACAGCAAAAATCAGCCTGTTTGATTCAGAGGGTCAGAGAGAGGGTGTAAAAAGCTCATGGAAATTAAATTGTGGAAAATAAAAGACACATGTTTTTGCACACTTTTTTTGCCAATCATGGAGTGACTTTCATTAATTTGGCTAATTTCAATGCGCAGTTATCCGGTCTTCCTGTTCCTGTGAATTCAGCTCGATCTGAATCGTCCAGAGCAGAGCAAAACTGTTGTGAGACTGAGCATTATTACTGATGGCTTCTGCATGGGATGATCTCATGCGTTGTGTGTGTGTGTGTGTGTGTGTGTTTCCAGATGTGGACGAGTGTGTTCAGGAGGGAGTTTGTCAGGACGGCCGCTGCATCAACACTGAGGGATCATTTCTGTGCCACTGCCAAACCGGCTTCACCACCAACCCAGAGAGAACAGCCTGCCTGGGTAAAACACACACACACACGCACGGGCACACACACACACACACACACACTCACTCACTCACACACACACACACACACACTCACACACACACACACACTCACATGTGTTACAATTTCATACTGAAAAAAAACAACTAAAATTAAAATAAAAAAGTATTAAAAACTACTTCTAAAGCACGCACGCACACACACACACACATGTGTATGTTACAATTTCATACTGAAAAAATTTTTTTTTAAATAAAAATAAAAAATAATTAAAAACTACTTCTAAAGCAGATATATGAATTCATTTGAATACAATTTCATTAATATTTCCTTAATTAAATTGACAAGAAATGACATCCAATAAAGCTATTATGTAAAGCAACTATCACTTTTGTGGCCTAGCTCTTTTTTTTTTTTTTGTATTGTTTTTTTAACCATGACAGTACTGGCAACAGCAATTCTTAAAATAATGAAATTAAATTACATTTAGATTAATTTTGAAAAGAAAAATTGAGGAGCCCTGCACATGACATGATGGGAAAAAATACAATATTGTGGCCAAATTAAATGAGGGACAAATTAATACATTATGATTTAACTGAAACAATGAAACAAATTAATTTACTTCTGCATGTCATGTGAAAATAAATGAAATAATAAAATAAAATAAAAATAAATAAAAATAAAATAAGTTCTTAGGGGAAAGTTCACAGTAGAATTTCTTAGATTCAGTAGAAAATCTGGGCAACTTTTCAGCACTGTTTAAAAAAAGTATATTAAAAGGATATTATTAAGTCATTATAGAGACATAATAAAAAGTTTAAAATTATTGTAATATAATTTGAAATTAGAATTATTGTTTGTATCTTTTCCCTTCGTTTTACGCTTTATTTGTGCTTGGAGTGTGAAGCTCCCACGCGGCGAGTAAAGTAGCTGTGTGTCAGTGTGTGTGTGTAGATCTCAGCTCAGTTTGCTCTGCAGATGTGAACGAGTGTCTGGACTCAGAGGGGCTGGTGTGTGG